CGACCTGTCATGTTTCAAACGATCCAAACGTAACACGCTTCCGCCAATCCCTGCCTTGAAGCAATGAGTGACGGAGGGTGGGCGTGGTCAGCTCGGAATGCATTTTCAAATTGAATTTTGCTACACATATCCCACGACGTCATGATGAAAATGCAATTCTAAGTGTTCTAACTGTTAGTCTAAATGCATTTAGGACAAATAGCATTTAAATTATCATTTTGCTACCATTTCTGCTTGAACGTTACACATATCAAATCAGTTTGTGTTATACATTTTCATTTTAATTTCGCAACTTATAAAGCGTTCAAATGTGCATGCAATTTACATATTAAGACTACTGTTGGAAATGGCAAATGTAAATTATATAATTTAATTTTCATTTTACTTTTGCACCAAACTTTGCACGTATGGGTAATGGAAAATGTAAAATTAAATACAGAAATACAATACCATTTTGAATATTGCGTTGCCATTTTGCATATTGCATTTTAAATTGAATTTCGCTACTAATATACTTCCATAGTGTTGAAGGTGTATATTTTCAAGAAGTTTAAAATGTAAATTTTACTGGGAATCAAACCCACGATCTTAGCTAACGTCATGCTTTATTGTTTGATGTTTCAGGAAAACACAGGCGGAAAAAAACATTTAAAATATATTCAAAATACATTAAAAAAAATCATTTTTGTGAAAAATAGGCTTAAAAAAGTTGATTAAAAGTTTTCTTTGTTTACTTTTTTGAATGTTAAAGGTTTACTGGTTTAACCTGTTTTGTTTTTCATAGTGTGATTTTAGGTGAATCTTGTTGAATCCAATTACAGTTTAACTTGTATTATGCTACAGAATTGTAAAATAATAATAAACTATGCAGTCCCAGAGCAAAGTTTATTTTATTGTTTAATGTTCAATTCATGATGAAATGACTATTGTGAAGAATTTTTAAAAAACTAGTTTGAATCAGTTTAACAAATCCTTCACTGAATGAATTCACTGAATCTGGCAAAGAGTGAATCTGTCTTGAAATGCAGCATATTTTGAGTACGTGAAATATTTAATGAAACTTAAAGCAGTGGTTATTGATATGCTAATTTACTTCCAGAAATATTATTCGACCACACAGCAGAAACCAGAACCGCCTTCGACCTCCAGTATAGCAATGTGTCAATCAATCCCTTTAGCTGGAAAAAGCCATAAAATTCAAACTTCCCAGATGCATGCATCATTGACATGTGAAGGAAGTTTGAAACCACTGAGACTCTTCCTAGAATTGACCATCTGGCTAAATGTGGTATTCTAAGAATCTGGAAGGTCAGAGAGGTGACGAAGAGCTCCTCAGAAGACCTTGAGATTACCTGTGTAAAGATGGGAGGTCCTGTCAAAATCCATCACTACAGCACTTCATCAATCACTTTCAAACGAGTTCACAAACTGCGGTCTGTGAAGTGCTTTGGATCATGAGTTGACCAAAAATCTAAACCTAACAATTGTAATTGACAAAGAAAATCAACAGTGAGTTGATTAATTAACCAGCTTTGAACAATGAATTATATGATCCACTCATTTAGATTCAGTAGCTAAAAGTAACAATGTCTACTTCATTTCAGTGAAACAAGCAGCAGTCTAAACATATTATGGATCTGTAGCTCAAGACAGGATTGGTGAAATGGATGTCAAATGGGACCACCAAATGAGATTTGGAGTAATTGGTGGTCTGTAATTGTTTAATGTTTTAATGTTTAAAAATAGCTCAAATGTGCTGTATTTAGAGCATGCATTCTGACACATTGCATTGAGGTCCTTATGTGGGCAATGCGAGTTTGAATCTCATGTTATTTAAAATTGCCTCTTTTTGTCCTATCACATCATAATTTACCAGTAAAAAAAGCAGAGGGGCCAACACATTTAATAGGATTTCATTTTTTTTTTGCATACATGTCATACCAGATGTACTAGAGCATTTGGCGTATATTTAAATTGCACAAGCATTGTACGAAGTGTTGTATTATGTGTGAGCATTACGCTTTTCGCGAATTCCTGATAAACTGCCACCAAATATCACTAAGAAAAGGGTAATTTTCTGCAGTAGAAGAATCCACTGTGGGGTTTTTTCCATATATAATAAATTATTTGTGCCTCAGAGCTTGCAGATGAAATGTAACAAACTCATTCACGTTATCTTGCTTTTGGAGACTGATGCCTGCTGTTTGGTAATGCAGTTGTGTAAGACAGTTCCGCGAGGTAATTATACCCAACCACTTTGACAACAGAATTTGGCTCAGGTATTTCGTAATGACCAAAACATTTCAGATGCAGTCGGTCCGCTGCTTAGTCCAGTTATGCAGCCCCATTATGCAAAGTCAAGTGACTTTTTTTGATGTGCATCAAGGAATTTATTTGGTAAATGTGCTTCCATCATAGTTTTGTGCATGTTTTCTTATCAAATAAAAAATATCCACCTCAGTGCATAAGTTTTAGTTATAGTAATTTGTAGCAGTTTCACTCAGGAGCTTGCACATAAAAATAAAAAAAACACGAAACAAAACCAACCGGGTATTTCAGTGGATTTCAATAGAACTTTGTAGCAGTTCCACCCTGGAGCATACAGCTGCCAGTGCCGGCCCATAGGGTTGTGGGGCTCTAGGCAAGATAACCAAAATAGGCCCCACTAGTGTAACATTTGTCATCGCAATTTAAACATATGACAAGTCTGTCTGTGATCGTGGGCATCATTGCATTTATAAAACAAATACTAATACTAAAGCAATAAATATTATGAATAGCAGTCAGAACATAATTTTTTTCGGCTCCATAAAGATAGCGTTTGGATTCCATTTTTCTATTACAATTTCAGTTTAATCTCTCTATCATTCTTTCATTTAAATTCCAAAATCTGAACCAACAAAATCTGCACACAAAATCTGAAGTTTGCAGATAAACATTTTCTTTATTGGCCAGAAATTATAAAGAACACTAAGTTTGCTGTGCTTTGTGTTTGTAGATCTGCACAATTTGGCCCACAATTTTTTTTTTGTTTTTATATATCAATATGACTACTAATAATTCTGATTATAGTTAAAACTAAATAAATCATTAAACAAAGTAATAATTATTGATAATGATTATTATTAATATAGTTTACAGAAAACTGCAGCATGACCTGTTAACATGCAGGAGGTTTATAATTGTTTAGAAAGGTCTAAGGATTTATTATAAATGATTATGATTCAAAATCATTAACAGTAATTTCTTAATTTTTGTCAGGAAATTTTATGCATCCACTGAGAGAGACAGAGAGAAAACTCCTCTACACTGGAGAAAAACTTAGAAGTATTATTTTTCTTATTTTTACCCAAAATAAGGTGTAGTGAGTAGCTGTAGCTGCTTCATTCATACTGGTAGCCAGAGGGCGCCCTCGTGCAGTAAAACCATAAATGAAAAAAATCATAAAATGAAATACTCACAAAAATCACGTTGGCGGAAATCCCTAATATGAAC